TAAAAGAATGTTATTTATTTCACATGAGCATTAAAAAATACATTAATGAAAGTACTTCCCATCACTTGTAAAACGCTACGAATTAATTCCAACACCTAATAGTATACACATAAACGTGTAACTTACATAATAATTTTCATTATACATTATAAATTTAATAATTTAAATGTAATAATTTACTCGTATAATAATTAATACGTCAATCATAAAGTAGATGCGCCTCGAAAGTGACATATACTGTTGGAAATGCAATTGAAGCAAAGAAAGAAATAGTTAGAGGAACAAATTGAGTACAGATATATTGGACAAAGCCAATGCAGCGCACATACGGGTTTGCAAGTCTTGCAAATAAATCTTTGTAGATTCGAATATCACGCTTTAGATGAAACGATGCGGGTTACAATTAACTATGTCAACAGATGTACATATATACATCACAAGATACTATACCATTTAAATCAAGAATATCGCAACTTAATCTTGACTAATAGCAACGAGAGATAAGCCAGAAAAACATTATTTTCACAGTCAAGTGAGATGCATACACGGCATGTAAGTGCAATTCAGGAACTCTAATCTGTCATCGTCTCTACTATCGCGCAGTTCATCGTCCATGATAATCATCATACGTACGCATCACAGTGTCCACGAAGAAGGATTGAAGCTCTAAAAGCTTTCTTTCACATGGAGGAAATGCGACTAAGTGATGGACGATGTAAATGCCTCCCCTAATGGCGCGAGTCGACAAAATGATAAACTCGATGACTACTTGGTACGTCGTACCAAGTGACGTACACGGGGTACGGGGTCGAAGACGAGCGAAGATGACGGGGTGCGGAATCGGCAAAGAAGGGAAAACAGTTTGCGGAGGTAGCCGAGAAAGAGAAGGGAGGTTGTCGGAGGTTGTGGGTGGCTGGAGAAGAGCGGGGGTTTCTCGCGTGCAGCCTTGACATGGGCCAGGAAATCAATGGGACCTCCAACACCGATGCAAACTCGGTCAACCAAGCCGCGCAACGGCCCACGTCCATAATGTCGTGCAGTACACGCGGATGTACGCCGCTGTCGACCAGTAATCGATGCAAGATCTTGTTCTGAGGTACTGTCTTCGCGTTAACCATCGAATTTGTACATATTTAAATCAAGCGATGACATGAACCATCAATCAGCGCGCCGTTACTTCATTTAATAATAGACCAAAGATCGAAACGAGCAAATATAGATAAACGATGAAAATAAACGTGATGAACTTTGTGAAAAAAGCATGTCCCGGTTACGATCTGGATCCTTAATTAAATCGACAGAAATAAAATAAAATGAATAATAATTTAATAAGAATTCCTCCTCTTGGAATCTATTAAAGAATACTTGAACGTATCAATTAATCTCAAATAATCTATAAACAAACTTATCTTTCTGTTTATCGTCTTTTTTTTTTAATGAAAAGCCGTGCTATATCTTTTTCTGTACAGTTGACTGGCTTTATTTTTAATATATCCTATCCTTATGAGCGATACACCCGGATGATAAAATGCTTTGAAAGAAGTGCCCGCATTATCAATATCAAAACCAGCGCGGCGTGTATCAAAAAAGAAATCGGTATTCGTCATATATTCCTGAAAGTCGCGATCTCGATCCTACGTCCATCCTGTTGTCTATCGTGATGATGGCATCGGTGCCGATGGGCAGGAAATGAAACGACATTTCAAAGGAAATGTCAAACAGTCCAGTAGGCACGCCTCACTGATCAGAAACAACCACTTTATCTGCTTTC